TTAAATTAACAGTGAGTTTGTATCCAGTCGTCCTGGTGTAGGGGTATGAATCGTGGCTTCATATGCTAAAGGTCTTGAGTTTGATTCCCCGCTTAGACACTGGAAATTTAGTGGACTTTTTCTACATAATTTTGAAAGTTAGTCTTTATTCCGCTGAAATATTTATAAGTTTGTTGTGTGTTCGACATTCCAGCCAAAATGTTACAGAACAAAAGAAAGCATGTAGAACAAAGAAACTCAAGGTAAGGTGATCCGACTCAGGTCACCTCTGTTAGAACAAATGAGTTGGGATGTAAAATATCAGTGATCAAGTAAGACTAGTAGTGGATCAAAGGGTATCAATTTTGTTGATTTGATGGTAGATTGTTGATTAAAACAACAAGAGTGCACACACTGAAATGTCTCGCCTTCTTTACTAACCATTGATTTTATGCTGATAGTCCTAAATACAAAGCTTTACTACAAGTAACACATAAACTTAACATGATCCAAGAAAATGAGGTCAAGGTCAGATAAACCAAACGAGAAATACATGTACACCTTACAATCATTCAATAAACCAAACATAGTTGACCTATTGCTTATTGTTTCTAAGAAACAGTCTTAAACAAGAAAACTTAACATTGACCAATGAACCATGAAAATGAGGTCAAGGTCAGATGATACCTGCCAGACAGACATATACACCTTACAATCCTTCCATACATCAAATATAGTTGATCTACTGCTTATAGTTGAAGAAAAACAGGCCAAAACACAAAAACTATGATGACACCTACCAGTTGGACATGTACACCTTACAATCATTCCATATACCAAATATAGTAGACCTACTGCTTATAGTATCTGATATATGGACTTGACCACGAAAACTTAACCTTGTTCACTGATCCATGAAATGAGGTCGAGGTCAAATGAAAATTGTCTGACGGGCATGAAGCCTTGCAAGGTACGCACATACTAAATATAGTTATCCTATTACTCATAATAAGAAAGGAATTAACATTTCAAATAAATGTGGATAGTGTCCACATGTGGACACAGATGATGCCCCCGCTTGCATATCATATAGTTATAAAGAGACATAACTGAAGAACAGTAAAAGTGACACTACCCAAATTTGAACTTGATCTGAGTTTTGTGGTAATAAGCAATTTTTCTATTTGTAAACATGCATAACTCTAGAACGGTTGTGTATAAGTTTTATAACATTTAGTTGAGACAAACTAAAGTTAGAGAACGGAAACGAAAAATTCAGCAATTTTTATGTTTATAAAGGGACGTAACTCAAGAATGGTAAAAGTGTTGCCACCAAATTTCGTACTTAATCTGTATTATGTAGTAATAAGCATTGTGTATAAGTTTCATAACATTTGGTTGAGGCAAACTAAAGTTAGAAAACGGAAACAAAAAATTTGTACTTGATCTTAGTTTTGTGGTAATGAATATTGTGTATAGGTTTCAAAATGTTTGGTTGGGGCAAACTTAAGTTACAGAATGGAAACTAAAAGTTTTGCAATCTTTCGATTTATAAAGGGGCATAACTCAATAATGGTTAAAGTGACACTACCCAAATTCAACTTGATCTGTGTTTTATCAGTGGAAGTCAAAATTAAACATTGCATTGTATAAAGCATTGATTGTAGTTGATTCAACTATAATCATGGACAAAGGAAGATAACTCCAATTTTAAAAATTACTTGATATTTAGAAGAAAATAAAATTTTTGCAATTTTTCCATTTATAAAGGGACATAACTCTAGAGCGGTTAAAGTGACGCCACCAAAATTCAAACTTGATCTGTGTTTTGTGGTAATAAGCATTGTGTATAAGTTTCATAACATTTGGTTGAGGCAAACTTAAGTTAGAGAACAGAAATTACAAATTTTGCAATTATTCCATTTATAAAGGGACATAACTCTAGAACGATTAAAGTGACACCACCAAAAATTCAAACTTGATCTGTGTTTTGTGGTAATTAGCATTGTGTATAAGTTTCATAACATTTGGTTGAGGTAAACTTAAGTTAGAGAACGGAAATGATAAATTCAGCAATTTTCCATTTATAAAGGGGCATAACTCTAGAACAGTTAAAGTGACGCCACCAAAATTCAAACTTGATCTGTGTTTGGTGGTAGTAAGCACTGTGTATAAGTTTCATAACATTTGTTTGAGGCAAACTCAAGTTAGAGAACGGAAACCAATTATGGTATACGGATGGACGGACGGACGGACGGACGTACATACGTACGTACAGACGGACAAGGGTAAAACTTAATGCCCCCACCGCTACGGGGGGTGGCATAAAAAAGAAACGCACAATAACAATACGTAACCCCAACTCCGTTGTAAAAAATAAATCAAAGGATTTTTGCTATGAAGGCAAAATTTTCTTATAAAGCTTTCCTAATATGAACATTTTGAAAATTTCTTATTCAATGTCAATGTTTCAATTATTCTGCACATTGAGAACACTTGTAATAAACATGTGCAGCAGGAATTTAAATGAATTTGCCTTTTAATGCAATTGTTTGAGAAGAATTTATTACCCACCACAGGACGACATTAATTTGATTTAATAAATGAATGCCATGCATGTGTAACTTATTCCTTCTTCAATTTACATCAAAAATTAAATGCCACGAAATTAACATTAAATTCAAAAAGCACTAGCTTTCTCCATCCTTATTGAATTCTGATAAACTGAACCATAGATTCTATTTTAGATTTTTTCTACAGAACTTTAGACTAAATCAAATCATTTTTTAGTAACTTTCAAATGATCCAACTGTCACTTGAATGGAATAAAAACTTCAAGTAACTTATAAAACACTGTCCTTTCTTATCAAATACTTGAACAAAATTTTGCAACAGGTTACTAAGTAATCTTTTTAATTGAGAACTTGTTTTTAAAGTCATTCCAAAACTGTTTTAGTGTCCTCTTGGTGACCTGCCTCTAGTAAATGAGGTCATGGGTTCAATCCCCAACTTAGGCAAAAAACCAACCTATTAAATTCTTTGTGAAGCATGAGGTATTTTACGTGGAAAGAGCATATACTGTGTCAGAATAATGAGTTCAGTTACAGGACATTCCTGTGTGCTGTTATTTTGTAAAAATTTTAGCTGTGCCTGTCAATCTAGTATAATTAGAGTCCTTATAATGTTAAAGTCCTGAATATTGCAGTAAATTAAACATGCTGTCAATCAATACAGTTATTCCAAAGGCATGTATTACATTTGTAAAAGTCCAGTACAAGTATGCAGGCACAAAAATGTCTTGACTACTTAATTTATTATGTCTGAATAATGTGTAGACACTCTTTGAGACTATAGGTTGAATTTTGTCCAGTAAATTTCTATATTGTGCAAGCTTGTGGGCAGTATGATATTCTATGAAGAATAATTCTCGCAAATATTCATGCAAAAAGCCTTTAGTAAAACAAAGCTTAAAAAACTGTCTGAAACATATTTTTTCCACTGATGACTTTCCGCATTCGAATCTTTTTTTTCAACAGTGCATCTTTCTGTATGAAATATGTTGCTGCAATATAGCATGCTGATTTGCATGTATCAAGAAAACTCAATGTTAACATGACAGACTGACATGCACAGAATAAGACCTATGCATCAAGTTACTTGATCCTGTCAGACAGACATTTAAATTTTACAATCATTTTAAAACCAAATATATTACTCATAGTAACTGAGAAACTGACAGAAGCATGAAAACTTAACATTGACTTCAATAAGTCATTGAACCATGGAAATGAGGTCAAGGTAACTAGAAATATGGCAAAAAGAACTTCAGAACATTTTGAAACCATCTGTATACAAAATATGGCTTGTCTAGCTCTGTAAATCTTCTGAAATAACTAGATATCATTGAGATGGAAGCCATCTCTGTGGGTCCCACTGTGAATAATGTGTGGTAAAAAATTTGTATCTAAGTTTTTGACCTTGACCTTTGACCTAGGAAGTTGTACATACATTAAGACACAACCTCTGGTGTTGGTTAATATACATGTCAAGTATAAACTTTGAAACCATAACGGTTCTCTAGATATAGAGTGGACACAATTTGTTACGTACAGAGGGACAGATGGATGGACAGACAGACGGACAATTTGCCATCTAATTATAGCTTCAAAGTCTCAAAATCAGTGACTTATATCATAGCTGACATAGGCAACATTAAAATAAATTTTGTGGTCCAGTAATAAGTGTCTTTTTAAGTGGACAATAATGCCAATAAAAATCAGAGGACCAAAAGTAAGAAAAACATCTGTTATAGATCTACTAAACAAATTATTAAGTCCAATAAAGATTTTTGACTTTTAAAATCACTTTTAATAGTGATAATATACACCTATTGACTGGTTATGAGGGTAATAGCAAGTTTGTTGTCCCTGAGATACCAACTATTGCTTGAGGTGAAGCCGAGGGCAATAGTTAGTATCAAAGGGACAACAAACTTGCTATTACCCTCATAACCAGTCAATAAGTGTTTTATTATACCGAAAAAAAACATCTTTCTAAAAATTCTACATACATCATCTGAAAGAAAAGAAAAATGTCACATAAACAAAATGAACTATAAGTTTTTTTTATAGTCCGTGTTGTATTTGTAAATATTTCATTTACTGAAATCAATACTAAGAATACTTGTGTAAAAATTCCCGTTCATATGATAAATTCTACTAGACTAGCTAAAGTACTGTACACCAAAGCAATCACATTTTCTGAAGACGACGCAGACCCGTATTATACATTTACTATATTTTAGATCTTTTAAAAATGCGTCGCGAAGATTTTCCTTTTCTTTTTTAATTGCTTCTGGTAAGTTATATATTAATTTGAAATTACGACAGACACAAACAGATTATACCGTTTACGATATCAGAGTTTGACGTTGCCAAGCGCACAAATCCAAGCAGAATAGTTAATGACGTCATTGTTGTCCAATGAAAAATAAGTATGAAAAAATACGGGAAATATGATTACAAGAGTGCACACGCTGAAATGTCTCGCCTTCTTTACTAATCATGGATATTATGTTGATAGTCCTAAATATAAAGCTTTATTACAACTGTCACATAAACTTAACATTAACCAAGTAAACTAAACATTGACCAATGAACCATGAAAATGAGGTCAAGGTCAGATGAACCATGCTAGGCAGGCATGTACAGCTAACAATTCTTCCATACAACAAATATAGTTGACCTATTGCTTATAGTTTAAGAAAAACAGACGAAAACACAAAAACTTAACACTGAGCAATGAACCTTGAAAATGAGGTCAAGGTCAAATAAAACCTGCGTGACTGACATATAGATCATAAAATATTTCCATACACCAAATATAGTTGAACTATTGCATATAGTATTAGAAAAAAAGACCAAAACTCAAAAACTTAACTTTGACCACTGAACCATGAAAATGAGGTCAAGGTAAGATGACACCTGCCAGCTAGACATGTACACCTTACAATCATTCCATACACCAAATATAGCTGACCTATTGCATGCAGTATTAGAAAGAAAGACCAAAATTCAAAAACTTAACTTTGACCACTGAACCATGAAAATGAGGTCAAGGTCAGATGACACCTGCCAGCTAGACATGTACACCTTACAATCATTCCATACACCAAATATAGTAGACCTATTGCATACAGTATAAGAAAAACAGACCAAAACACAAAAACTTAACTATAACCACTGAACCATGAAAATGAGGTCAAGGTCAGATGACACCTGCCAGTTGGACATGTACACCTTACAGTCCTTCCATACACCGAATATACTAGACCTATTGCTTATAGTATCTGAGATATGGACTTGACCACGAAAACTTAACCTTGTTCACTGATCCATGAAATGAGGTCGAGGTCAATTGAAAACTGTCTGACGGGCATGAGGACCTTGCAAGGTACGCACATACCAAATATAGTTATCCTATTACTTATAATAAGAGAGAATTTAACATTACAAAAAATCTGAACTTTTTTTTCAAGTAGTCACTGAACCATGAAAATGAGGTCAAGGACATTGGACATGTGACTGACGGAAACTTCATAACATGAGGCATCCATATACAAAGTATGAAGCATCCAGGTCTTCCATCTTCTAAAATATAAAGCTTTTAAGAAGTTAGCTAACGCCGCCGCCGCTGCCGCCGGATCGCTATCCCTATGTCGAGCTTTCTGCGACAAAAGTCGCAGGCTCGACAATAAAACTATTAACCGGGGTAATAGTCTTTAAAACTATTGACTGGCAAATAGTCTGTGGAATGAAATAGCACAACTATTTCAGTATTTTTTATATAGAAAAAACATACTGAGGTATAATAATATAATTTATTCAGATAACACCATGGCCAAAAACTATAGCACCTTGGAATGCTTGGATACCATAGTGCAATATTGAATAAGGCCCTGGAGACAACAGGTGATATTTGAATTTCTGTTGTTGAATCTGTGTAATATTTTATAAATGCCACTGTCTTTCTAGCAGTCTTATATATGGTTTACCTGCAATGATGGCCTTCTTAATGTCTTTAAAATTTGAATTGGCTATTGACAACACTTCTATTTATTTAATGAGACAAAAACTCTCATGAAAGTTGTTTAAGAAAAGGTCAGTCATGAAATTGCAAACACTTTTGTGTGACTTAAAGTAAAATTGCATCATACTGTATGTGCATTACATAACATTAAACTGTAATAAATACATGTACATGATGTAGGCATGCAATCATTCAATAAATTACTGCATATAAATCAAACCCATTAATATCATTCTGCTAATGCATACAGTTTACATTCCAGTATTATATATAATATAATTTGCCTGACACGGAGACTGCCTTTTCTCAGTCAGTAGTGTCATGCCATAGTCATGATAGTCATAATCTACCGGTAACATGGATTAAAGTACATGTATTTCCCCTTTTCATTTGTGCTCTACAATTAGAATTCAATTACATGCTTTTAAACTACATGATAGTACAGATATTATCATCTCCCAGGTTATAAGACTGGTTTTATTTTAAATTCCTGCATATATGCATTTATCAATATCTACAGGATGGTGGTGGTTGCAGATTTGGTCTGTTGTACTGTCCAATATATTTGGTAATGAAAAATATTAAAATGAATTGATTCAAAAGCTAAATTTGTAAATAAGAAAGGATATCAAGAAATAAAATGATTAACCTAAATGGAAGGAAACATTTCCAAACCTGAAAGTTATGATAACCTCTTTTCATAATTCAAGTAACGCCAATTTTTGATTGATATTCAATTTCTGATCTTTTATCAGACCAGGAATAATGTTTTACGTTAATGATATTCAATAACAAAATTAAAAGTTTTTGTAGTGCTTAAAGACCTAATAACAACACTAATTAATATAAAATTCTTTACAAGAAGTCTCCAAAAAGAGAGAAATCTCAAGTAAAATCAAGAAAAGGGGGATAACTCCTACAAGCTTATGGAAAGAATCTGTATGAAAAATAATTCTATCTACTAATTTCAAACAGATATTTTCTAGAAAAGAAATACATTACATAACCAATAAAAAAAAATTCTCTCATTTTTTTCATTTATTGCAAGTATGAACCCACACACTGCGTCCAGGAATAGGATAAGAAATTATCAATATGAATCAAAATGAAATATGTTAGCTTTATTTTGCTAAGCTGACATTCATCAAACTCTTTTTGGCAGAATAGTTCTAATGACAAGTATGCACTTTAACAGCTAGTCCTATATCTCAATTTATGATTAAATACTAAAATAAATTTTACCTTTAGCTTTCTTTGACAATGATGTCCTTAAAAATGTACATTTCCTTTTCTTCGATAAACGCATTGTTGGTGTATACTGATGATATTCCAATTAAAAGCCAAATTTCATCAATAGACCAAACTTATTGACTAGCTGATCTATAAATATTCCACAGCAATCAAGACCCAATTGTTTTCACTTCATACAAATTCCCACTATTTATTGTCACTCAAGCTATGCTGTGAATTACTAAGGAAGCTTGCCATCCATCAGAGAATATCATAAAAACCCATTTCCTTAGAAATATGCATTAATATAACAATGATCAGCAGAAATATATATAACCCAATAACCACCGTCACCTATATAAAACATAGGGTATTTTGTCAGGCAATTATAGAACAGATATGACCATGCTATGGTTAAATCATTGATGCATTTAAATGCGATTGAATGTATTGCATATCGATAAATCTATTCCTGATAGGAAAGTAATATAGGATTACTATAATGTTAGTTAATCATTCCTGTCTATTAAGTAAGTCTGATAGTAATAGAAGTATAATAAAGTATCTAATCAGACCTACATCATACTGAGAAATCACTACCGAACATGCTTATACTATACTATAAACAACTTCTCACATATACATAAAACAAGATCAGAACCAGTTTTATATATACATGTGTCTAGCAAGGAATGCTGACAGGATACCAGAGTAGGACAAGTTTTAGACTGCAATGAGTTATGGTATACCTTGTAAAGCATACCCAATGTTGTAGTGATATGACACTAATTAGTCTAGAGTACAACATCCTATTGCATGAGCTACGGGAGTGCAACTAAAATTCTATTTGTAGTTCCCTTGAAAAATGTGATGACTGAATGTCATACATAGCAGTTACTGTAAATTCAGAAATTATCGTTAGGTCTTTATTAATGTGAATAATGTGACTAGGTGAATATTGCAATAATAAGAACTCTATGCAGATTTTCCTGAAATCACAATAATTTATCTCGCATTTTGTCCATTCTTCAAAAATCGAAATAATTTATCTTGCATTTTTGTACATCTTCAAAAATCGCAATAATTTATCTTGCATTTTTGTCCATTCTTCAAATATCTCAATAATTTATCTTGCATTTTTGTCCATTCTGCAATAAAATGCTTCGCTCAGCGCAGCCTCATACAACCGCAGAGGTCGAAACCTTAACAGTTGGGGCAAATTTGGACACAATATTCAAGCTTGATACTGTCTGAATTTGGATTGTGATCACATTTTTGACATAATACAGGTTTCTGACACAAAATAGATGTGGTCAATTATCTTACAAATCTATTACACAATACTGTGCATTTGAATGTTTCTTCTTTCTTCTTGAAACTTTTCAAAAATTTGAAATTTGAAAAATTTTGAAAAAAATATGAACCCCTTAAAAAAATTAGAAACCCCCTCCCCCCAAACTTTTTGAATCCCTCCTTGGAGCAATTACACCCAAACTCAATCCCAGCCTTTCCTTTGCAGTATGGAACTTTGTAGTACAATTTCAGAGAGATCCATTCACTTAAACAAGTTATTGTCTGGAAACTAGAAAAATGCTTGTTTTTGGCCCCTTTTTGGCCCTTAATTCCTAAACTGTTGGCACAATAACCCCCAAAATGAATCCCAACCTTTTACTTGTGGTATTAAACATTGTGGTACAATTTCAGACCAATCAAAACACTTATACACTAGTTATTATTCTGAAACTAGTAAAATGCTTGTTTTGGGCCCCTAATTCCTAAAAACAGTTGGGACCATCATCCCCAAAGTTAATCCCAACCTTCCTTTTGTGGTATTGAACCTTCTTAAAAAATTTCATAGAGATCCATTCACTTAAACTAAAGTTATTGTCAGGAAACCAAATGTGTCTTCGGACGACGACGCAGACGAAACGACATCATACCATTATACGATCCCCAAAATTTTTTTGCGGTCGTATAAAAATTGCAATATATTTATCTTGCATTTTTGTCCATTCTTCTTGAAAATGCATTAGAGTGTATAGCATGTTCACATGAAGACTTGATAACAAATGAAGCAGGGTTAAAATGATTCGTGTTAAGGCAGTAACTTTAGAGAATATGAGTTGTGTTACTTCTAGGCATTAATTGTAGAGAAAATAAGGTTCTTTTAGGTCTTAAAAGGCACTAACTGTAGACCATCCTAGGACTATGACAAATGTTAGGTCTTATAA